CAGCAGTGCCGCTTTTTAAGGCCTAGACTTAATGAGTGGCAATTCTGACTAAGGACAGAAATTGCATCGAACATATTGATATGGCATTCTCTTTTTTGCGGTACTGCTCTTGATGAGCTCATTTTTCTACTGCAACGCTCCCAAGGACGAGACGCTTCCTGGCCAGTGCGCAGGATCTGTAGACAACGATACAAGCGACACCACGTCTATACTCACGACTACAATACCAGCAATCAAACGTTCGGCTCTAGTTGCGCCTTCCCCTCTTGTAAGAGTACCCTGTAAATTGCAAAAGAGCGATAAAATTTGCAACGTGAAGAATAGACTTCAAGAGTTGATCAAGCGGGAACAACGACATGCTGGAAAGAATTTCATGAACACCGATAAGCTACCTGTGCCTGATTTTACAAGTTGCGACAAATGCTCAGCAAGTGCAGACAATCATCATTGAGACGGATCAGACGACGTATGGGCTGAAAAATAAGTAGCGGGCCCAAACGTTTGTTGCGCCAGTACTTGTCATGAGGCGTCACCAGAGTCTGTCTTGATCGCCTGAATCTGCGCTGCACTTGCACTCTCAGTCGCGACACTCGGCTTTGGGACTCTTGTGGGCGGCTGCACTGATGACGATTGCAACCGGCGCTACGGTTGGCCTACAACATTTTTCGGTTCGGAGTTGGCAGTCTCTTTCCGGATCGCTTAAAACGCTCCGCCATAAGAGTGGAAAGAGAACTCATCAGCGAAGCCAGTGCAGCTCCAGAATAAAGAAGACCAAGACAATGCAATAACCCCCAAGAAGCGACCCTGTTCTATGCTGTTCTGGTTGCCTAGCTCTTGTCCGAATCACGTACACCACATGAGCGCAGAAGGCCATCAACGCAGGACACAGACAACGCGCTCGATATGCGCTAAGCGCTTGATGACATTCAGCAAGTCGATAGCGTTGACATCGTCAGTGCGGCGCTCAAGATCTTATGTCTCAATCTCAGGCTGCTGTCCGTTGGTGTTGGGAGTGTTTGAACGGCAGAGAAACGGCAGAGAACGACCTTCCACAAGTCTTGATTAGAGGAACAGCGAACTGTAAGCGATCCTGACAACCCGTTTGCAAGTGTAACTCGTCAATGCGACAGACTACTCAAGCTTGGACAATTGGCTAGAAGGAGATGGAGTCAACAACTTGCTGACTGAATACCAAGCAAATATTGGTACATGAAGCCAATCTGAGGTGGATCATCGAAAGTCACGTAGGCACCGTCTTCCTCACCAAGCGTGCAGAGGAGCACGAAAAGAAGATGTTGCAAGTTGAAAGGAAGGTGCATCCACCCTCTACCTACGCCGAGACCCACGCAGTCAGCATCAGGGATGACCCACCTGCGGTAAGTATCTCCTTGCCAAGGTCCTTTGTCACAAAGACTCATCAATGATCTCTGATTTTGCACAGGACATGACCACTCCCAGTAACTGGGACCTCACCAGCATGAAGGAGCGCCTTGCGCGCATCAAAGTGCACATGAGCACCGTGTCCCTCCTCAAGCGTGCAGAGGAGCACGGAAAAAAGATCTCCAAAGTTGAAAACAAGGTCCAACACCTTCAGCATAGCACTGCCACTGCCAACCTGCTCAGCCTCACCAAGCAAATTGAGCGTCTCAAGCTTGCTGCTCAAGCTCATACAGTGACAGTAAATGTGTTGATCGCCGCATTGGCAATCAACATGGCCATCTTGCTTGCTCTCGTGATGCGCGCGCCCTAAACTTGCATCTGATGCTCAGGCCTAGCAATGCTAGATCATG